AATATTTATTATTATTATTATTATTAAATAATTCTTCTGGTATTTGCAATAATAATTTGTCACTTGTTTGCTCAACAAAGCTATCTGAACCAAATACATGAAAGGGATTAACTGTGATTATTTTTTAAACTATTTTGGAGACAATTTAACGTCTTTTATTTCGAAGTGATTGTTGTCATGTTTACGTAAACAAAATAATCATCTGGTTTACGCAAACTTGTTTGTTTGTTTTTGATCAAACTATAAGCTGCAATCTTTAAACAATGTAAAAATTTTCAACTTCAGCAGCATCAATAAAACTTTGATTATGCAAAAAATAAAAAATAAAATTTTTAAACATTTAACAATTAAAAATAATAACCTTTCGTTTTAATCTGTTTTTATACTATTAAATCAAAAGTGCTAAGCAACTAACAGTAAATTTTTAATGCGATTATATTTTAAGATTATTAAAGATTATTAGTCAATTAATTATTTGTACTTAACTTAATTTAAGGCGTTGTATCATATAGAAATGATTTAATTAATGTCTACTACTTCTTTTAAATTTAAATAAATATAAAAAATTTAGAGTATCGAAATAATATTCAAGCTGACATTTCTATAACAAAATGCAACTAAAAAAGCAACTTACTTTTTAATAAACTAGAAATTACGCAAGTTATGTTGTAAAAACCTTCAAAACGATCAAAGATAAAAGCCGCTATTAAAAGTAGTGCAATATAACAAATTTTTTATTGGGTGTGGTACTAAAGATACAGAACAAAACATTGCTTCACGGTCCTTAACATTTTAATTGAATAAATTGCTTAAATATATGTTTAAAAAAAAACATTAGTACGTCATTATAAAGTTTATTGAGTTATAAAAATAAAAAAAACTTTTAAAAACTTGTTTACTTTTATTATATATATATAATAGAAAAATGATAAAACCATAATTTAAAATAGTTTAAAAATACTGTCTGTTTTGTTACATTTTTCAAAAAAGCCGGATTAAATCTACAAAGCCGGATTAAATGAAAACATAACCTAACATCTTCATAAAATAATCTTTAATGTTTCTAAGTAAGGATTAAAAAGATTATTCCGTTTTTTAAAAATTATAAACAAAAAGAAGTAATTACTAAATTTTAAACTTTATTATTATAATAAATAGATATATACATGCATGGGCGCCCGCAGGATTTACTGATGTTTAAGATATGACATTTTCAGGCATTGTTGAAGCTACAAACTTAAATATTTTCATGCCTCTGTCAAATGAGGGTGCTTTGCGTCGCGGTGATGCAAGTCTAAGAATAAAAAAACCCCATAACGTTATCCCCTCAAATGTGAAAGCAGTGATGTAGTAAAAGGGGTTGTCAGGATTTTGGCATGGTCATACGTTTTGAACGCGGAAAGATTTTTGACTGAAATTTAAAACCTTACTGTTTAATTTAAATTTTGCCTAAAGAACAAGAACAAAATGTTTCGATGATATTAAAGAATCACTCCTGATCAAGATTTATTGGTACTGGCTCATCGTAACATTTTTTCTACACATCTTGTCAGCATGCTTAAATCTAGCTCTGCGAATTTCTTTATTCAGGGCCTCTAATTCTAATGCTCATATATCTGCACCTCATCTTTCAAAAATTATAAAAAATTTTAATACAAAAGCTTTAGTTTTGAAGCTATACTGGCCAAATCTTTCAGAGTTCAATTCATTACAGGAGCATACTGATCTTAGGATTGTCCCCAATGTAATAGTTATACCTTAGGATTGTCCCCAATGCAATAATTATACCACCACTCCAGTTATGTTAACAAAAAATTCAGCATTTTCAAATATTGCTTCAACTATAAAGCTTAGCTTCCTCTAAACCACATTTAATAGCGGATATTTGAAAAAATGCATTTCGCACCGTCAAAAAAATCTCAGATTCTAATAGTTTTCTAATAGAAATAAAAAGAAAAATTTGAGTAATGATAAAAAATAATTTGATGATTGCAACCTGCTAAAAGTTTTGATATCAGATTATTGGTTTTCATGTAGCACTACACGGAATATCAATATTATTTTACTTAGCTATTTCTTATTGCATAAAAATTAGTAAAAAGTATTATATCTCAAAATCTACAATGTTTAATAACTTTCTTTTAGCATGATGCATACATCATATAAAAACACACTATTGCTGAAAATTTGGTTAAAAACTGATGACTCAAAATTGAAATATCATGGGAAAAAAAATCGCATAGGGTAGTGCTAAAAAAATCAATTAGATCCTCTATATCGACAACAGAATCATATAGCACGTCTAATAAACTTTAAAAATCGTTATACTCATGCCAGACCTCTCTTATTGCAAATGAATGTTTTTAATATATACCAGCAAAATGTTTTTAATGTTCTTTTACTTATGTACAAATGTAAGATAAACCTAATCCCTATATCCTTTTAAAATTTATATGCAATAAAATAAAAAAACAAATATGACTTAAGAAATGACAATCTTATTCATCAACATTATTCTCATACAAGTTTTGGAAGATCACTTTTGACATATCGCGGAGCTCTTCTGTGGAACAAAATAGTTTTGAAAAATTTTGATTTTTCTCAAAGTCGGAGTTTTCTTACTTTTAAAATTAAGCTGAAAAAAGTTATCTTGTCAATTGATAATATCTTTGAGTTCTTTTGAGTTTATACCTTTTAAAAAAGTGTGTGATTCCTGATCATATTGTTTTATTTTGAAATATTTAGTTTTATATATATTCTTTATGTTGTTAAACGTTATTTTATGTTTTGAAATATCTGGTTAGATTTAAATTTTATTTCTAAACGTCATTTATTGTAAATATTTAACTGGTTATATTTTTACTGCATTGTTAAACGGTTCACAGAGACAGGATCTTACGATCCTCTTTGAGTCTCCGTGTTCTGATATTTAATGTACAACGATATTTATACCATAGTATATTGTAATAATAATAAAATAACTTTGGTAGGAGATTTTAAAATAAAAGTTTACAAAAAGCAGTTTAAAAAGTTAGACAAGATAAAACAAAACCAATAAATAATGAAAATATAGACGTTCTAAATAAATCAAAACAAAAACAAATTAATGTACTTATTTTAATGATTTCTTAATAGGTTAAAAAAATTATATTTAATGACCATTTGAGGATTATTTAGAAATTATAACCGTTGCTATGGTAGTTGTTAGACACGCTTATATTAAAATTATTTGTTTTCTAAAGAAGTATACAAAATTTTTAAATACACTCTTTAGATTTTAATTATCAAACTAACTTTGAATAAAAAAAGATAACAACTTTAAAAAAAAAAAATCGCTATTTTTGAGGGTTATTCCACTTGAAGTATTTAGGTATAGGGTGGTTTCCACACTTACCGTGAGTTTAACAAAAGTTATTATATTATGTTAGATTACTCAAAAAGAAGAAATTTATTAGAAATGAATTTTTGCAGCCATCAATGTAGTACTATAAGGGTTAGTCTAAAATTATTCTCACTCTGAAATTTAAATCAGTAATGTACTTATTTTGATCAAACTTTTAAAGCGCAGTTTTCCATACTTATCGTAAGTGTTTCACACTTATCGTATATATTGTTGACACTTATCGTATATCTTAAAATCTGCTTTAGTGACTAAACATTTTTAGGTATATAAATAAAAAATATATATATTAAATAAACATTAATTATATAGTAATGAAAATATTATTTTGAATTAAAACTAAAGATTATTAAAGCATTTCCATTACTTAAGTACAAATCTTTTAAACTGGAATGGATAGAGTTTTATCATAATTATCTGAGTCTTATTTTATAATTTTTGTTAACAATGGAACTCGTTTTCTGACTCAGTTTCAAACTTACTTTTTCTTTTGCGACTTTATTTTTCTTTTTCAAAATTTTTATGTTTTCTCTTTCTTTTTTAGTTTTTTCATTTAATAACTTTTTCTCCATAGCCATTTGTTTCTTTCTTAATCTTTCTTCTTCTATTTTTGACTTTTTATCTGCAGCTAATTGTTTCTTTCTTAATTTTTCATCATTTATTTGTGACTTTTCTTGCAATTTTGTCTTTTAAATTTGCTGCCACGTTTCAGATGTTACAACCGATGGTAAACGTTCTATTTTGCGCTTGGACGTTTGGACTGGTTGTTTTGGCCATATTAAAACTCTTTCAATTGGACTTATGATTTCAGCTGCTATTTTCAAACAAGAACAAGCTGGTTTTGGTTCTATATCCGCTGCAATATTGCAATCAGGTATTTCCATACCGGTTATAATTTGCACATTTTCTAAGTTACAAGTTGTTGATAGATTTTTATTACCCTGTTGTATTTCATCAGGTAAAATTGTGTTCTTATATGTTTCAGATGAGGTTTTTTTCCAAAAAAGATACACCTGAAGATATTCAAGGTCACCTTTCCAACCTAAATGTTCGTCAGCTATTTTAAACTGCTCTAAAATACTTGGATCAATGAAGTTTTCAATAAAGTTTATGGGAGAGGAAGCTGATAAAGTCACACTTGATTTATTCTCTTCTAAATAAGGAGTCGGAGCCACAGTTGACTCAGATAGTCTTTGAACAATTTTTGTGTCGTCCACACTATTAGCATCAAATGGAAATATTCCGGAATTTTTAAAACCACTTTTAACATTATTTGCCATAGAAGAATCAATTATAAATGAATTTAAAGCTTCTGGTACATTTTCATTGTTTATTTCTTGTCCTTTATGGTCAATGCGCCATTGTCGGCATAAAGATTTCCACTTTGCTTTCATTGGCCCAAAAACTGCTACATCGAGCGGCTGCAAAACATGTGTTGCATTTGGGAACAAAGCAACGAAAATTATTCTATTTTTAGAGCAAAACTCACTAAGTTCGGTAGAAAAATGTTACGCATGACCATCAAAAAAAATTATAACTGGTATAGGAATTTCTTCTTTTATCAAAAATGGATGAAAAATGTTTGCAATATACTCAAAAAAACATTCTGCGGTCATCCAACTATTTTCACTTTTTCCAATACCCATCCTGATGGAGCAGTATTTATAATTCTATTTGGAAGACGAACATATTTAAAAATTGTTAATGGTGGAGCAAAAGTTCCGTTGGCATTTACTGCAAATAAAGTGGTGATGTTTTTTTTATTACTTCGAACACTTTCTTCATATGTTTTTTTTCCTCGTTCACCAATTAATAAATTAGTTTTTGGTGACAACTGAAAACCACTCTCATCCATATTGAACACGCGCAGCAAATCATTTAAATATTGAGCGTTTTCTCCTAAAAGCTTTGGAATTTCAGTAAACCAATCTCTTATGGCTTTTTCAGTTACTCCTCCTCTAGCTCGGTTTAAGTATTCACCTCGTTTTTGAGATAACTGTTCGTGACGACGAAGAAATGCATAAGACCAACCTTTTGCAGGACGGTTGTTAGTAAATTGTGTTTTTATATTGTTGGAATTCAAGTATTTTTGCACAGTATTTAATAGCTGTACTACAGACATGGCAATTCCCATTCTGGTGCATGTTAGTAACCACTCGACTAATTTAGTTTCACTGTGTTCACCTAGTACCGATTCATAACCGCAGTGTTGTATCTTCAGAGAAGTTTTTCTAGATATTTTATCACGAAGCGTCTGATAAGGAATTCCAAACGTCTTGCTTGCTTTGTACACAACCATACCTTTTTTAACAGCATTAATAGCATCTCTTAATTGGCTATCTGTATATTGAAGTCTTCGTTTTGATCTACAAACTTTTGTCTTATATTTTTGTCTTGCCATTGTAAAAGAATCTAACTGAAATTTTTATTTTTATAGTAAAAAAGAAACAAATTGATTATTTATTGGACATACAATATGTATGGAATGACATTTTTTTAGTTCATACTTATCGTACGTTCAAAAATACTACATTGATACTATAATGATGAGTGGTTTTAATAATATTAATAATGATCCATGTTTTATTTACCTTATTAAATCAATTTAGAAAAAATTTTTATCTTATCTTCTTAAATTATCTTGTTTTATTTGAAACGCTTCTAACAGCTGGTACTTAAAAAAAAAAGTATTTTCATAGGCTGACGTAATAAGCCGACTGAGTTTATATAAGTAACTATGTATTGCGGTTTCTATGTATTGTAATAGAAGTGCATGACGATGTTGTTGATAAACAAAATATATATATAAAAATAATAATTACTACTTAGTGCAAAATTTATGTTAGTATTTAAAACCTACGATAAGTGTCGACTCACGCTAGGTGTGGAAACGACCCTATACTCAAAAAATCTGAGCCAGAAATGTAGAGTAGATAACCCCAAAAATAAAGCTTTTTAATTGACTGGTTAAGGTCTGATCAATACTGAATTATTATTTTTATGATTTTTTTCTGTTTTCATATACACATATCATTTAGAAAATGTTAAAGTTACCATGGAATCTAGTGGAATAGTTTTTAACCTGAACTCGTTATTAACCAAACAAAAAAAAACAATTCGGGGTATTTAAATATATTTTTCATTTAAATAGCTTGCAGTCGGCTTGCAAGAAAACAAGTTTAGTAATATATCACAGCTATTCAAAAACCTTCAAAGATTCAATGGTCAAAGGTCGAGATCAAACCTTCAAAAATAAAATCGTTTAAAAAATTTTTTTTCTTCCAGAAATTCCTGAAAAGAAAAGAATTTTTGAAAAACATTCTAATTCAAATAGACCATTGTATGCAAAAAATGGAAAAATTAAAACTAGTTTTTGTATGATGTTAATGTACTGAAGTAAATGTTTTACCAATAGTGGTTTGTTTTGCGTGGTGGAGATTCATTTTGATACATCTGTGTTCTGAAATCAATGTATATATTAATAAGTGTAAAAGTGTACTTATAAATATAGCTTTCATAATAATTTAAAGATTTTAAATTTTTCTTGCAAAAAAGGTTTTACCATATAAACCTGTTATAACTTTTTTATATTATTGTTTTCTTTTACATTTTTTTATTATATCCTCGCTTAATTTAATGCGGTAGTGGTTTAGTAGTAATGTATTGGTAGTGCGCTCGCTTCATAAGGGAGAGGTTCCGAGTTCGGTCCCTAGAAGTACCGCTTAACTTGTTTCTCTGCGCAGCAGCCTTGTTCGTCAAGGTTCATGTTTTGCAGTTATAGAGTTGAGGGAGGGTTATAACCACAATTAAGTAGCCTTGTCTGTAGTGGCCTTCTCGACCATGTGGAGGTGAAGCAACACTAAAAATAAAAATTCCAATTAAGTAGAATGATTCGTCGTCAATATGTTTCAATAACAGAAAAAAGGGGAAAAAAAATAAAAAGGTGGGGGGGGGAGGGTAGATATTGTAAAAATTGCAATTTATAACAGGTTACGTTATTTTAAGTTTTAACGTTATATTATATGACTATACTTTAACATTGTAATGTAAACTATCTTAGGTACAAACATAGTACATCTTACCTTGACATAAGTAACAAAAAAGGAGAATTTGAAATAAGAAAATAACAAATTAATAATCGACAAATCATCGGTGACATTTTAAAATTTTATCAGCAACTAACTAACAAATTGCTGTTTATTATAGCGTTTTTGTATGTACCAGATAAATTTATTATTTCTATTATAATTATTTTTAAATATTATTTCAATATTTATGATGATAATTATAATCTAAAATATAATGTTTTGTATGTTTATGAATCTAATTGGTTTCTTTTAACCCTCTCCCCTTTAAAAATAAAAAAATAAAAAATTAGTGATTTTTGTCGGGCTATTGATACAAATTATGGATGCTTTATGAGTTCATATAATATACTGTTTTCAATGTTACAACAGTTTTTATGTTAATCAATCTACTCGCGTGTTGAACTTTATATTCTATCAATTTGGAAAATATCACCGCTCTCGTCAGTACTGTTATATACAATAGCCATTGATACTTTATGGTATTTATTCCATTTAATTTTTTGGTTACAACCGTTTTTTATTACAAAGAAAAAAAAAAGAAAAAAAAAAGTAAAAAAATAAATAAAGAAGCTTTGATATTATTACTGATTTTAAATATTTTGAGTACCAAGGTATGAAATACCTGGTTCAAAGTGATACAAACTTTATATTAAGAGGTAGCCTAAAAGATTTTTCGCAAGGTCTGGTTAAAACAAACATGGTAGCGTACAATTTCTTTAAAACAGTTTTAATTCAAAAATGAAAAAATAAAAGAATATTTTTTCAAACCATTTTAACTATTATCGCTGTCAAATGTAAACATTTATATATAAAGAGTTTGCACGCGATGCGATGATCTCGAAAATACCAACTGTTATTGGCAGGGTTTTTATTTTTCAAATAATGGGCTTGAATTTTTTTTACAGATAACTTTATTCAGGTTTTTTTATCACTTTAGACTAATTTACTTGAATCATGTTTTGTTCTTATTTTTTCAAATATTTAAATATATAATTTATTTTTGAGATTATTGTTGAGAACATGTGCTTCAATGAATTTATAATAAATAATAGATTTATAAGTAATAGCTAATTAATAATTTACCCTTCTTGACTGGAGACTAGACTGGAGTATGAGAACAAAAGGAAATCAATGCTTTGAATTGATCATTGATTCAAAGTGATATTTAGTATTTAAATAAATATGAGTTCGAATGATTACTTTTTTATTACTATTAGTAAATAGATGAGTATGCAAGTATGAAACTACTGCAAAGTATTTAGTATTTATAAACTTATCGGATATAAAACATGTAAATATTAATAAAAGAAGCATTTTAGATGTACTTGATTTATAAATCTTTAAAAAAATTTCTGCTCTATAAAGTATAAAGTACACATCTAATAAATATTCTCCAGACTCAAGACTTGTACTTTTCCACATATTTCTACTCCACGCTCACATATTTCTACTCCACGCTCACATATTTCTACTCCACGCTCACATATTTCTACTCCACGCTCACATATTTCTACTCCACGCTCTACATATTTCTACTCCACGCTCACATATTTCTACTCCACGCTCACATATTTCTACTTCACGCTCACATATTTCTACTCCACGCTGTACATACCTAAAAAGACTCTCCAGACTCCTGTTTTCTAGTTCTAGCTTCAGTTTCGGTTTTAATAAAGCTTATTTGCCGATATTGTTTTCTTGTTTATTGAAATTAAACTTAGAGCCTGCCTATTTAATATAATAAATAAAAAGCCATAAGTAAAAAATATTGTATGAGGATATTTGTAATATATTATGTAAAGTATTATAGAAATGCATATATTTTTGTTCTAATTTTGTAATGATAAAGAATGTAAATATAATAATTTAATTAAAATGAAAAAGCTTAGGGGTGTTTTTACTTTCTACTAAATTTACACCTTTTGGATATTGCACATAAGACAATTGTATCTAGTAAAAAAAAAAATTCAACGGTAATGATTTATACATAAAAATCAAGAAATTGATGGTATCCTGTATAAAATAATTCAAAAGAGGTTTTTTGCGTGATCAATTTACTTTTAAGAAATCCAATACATTCTGAGTTATTTTTATGTTTTCTATATATAGTAATTTGTCCTTTAGGATTTCGTTTCCATGATAGCATTATCTAAATATTTTTGCATTATAGCTTCCTCTATATTATGTTGCGATTCTTTTAAAGAGTTAAAATGCTTAGAAAACTATGTGCCCGTGGTATTCTAAATGCACTTTAATTAACTCTGTGCACAAATTAATATTTTAAAAGAACTCATATAAAATTATGTAAATTCATATAAACAAAATTATTTGTTATTTAGCATTTTTAACTTTTTTTTTACTGTTTTTTATTTTAAAAGTTCAGAGCTTATAAGTTTCATTTAATTTTTACAGTTAAGTTAAAATACTTAAAAATGCTAATAACATAATACTTAATTGTTAATAAATTGATAAAAATAATTATTAAGTTTATTTTATTTTAAAAGAACTTCTTTAATTTAAAGGTTTGGCTTGGCCAAAGGATTTAATCCATCCAATCCAAGTTTTTAATCCATGGATTAAAAAAAGAAATTTAAAAGTTAAAGCCTGTACATACTTTACGGAGTTTTCATTCCACAGCTGTGTTTTTACTATTGTTATTAGTTGACTGCTATTGCTATTGTTGTTGCTGTTGTTGTTTTTGTTGTTGTTGTTGTTGTTGTTGTTGTTGTTGTTGTTGTTGTTGTTGTTGTTGTTGTTGTTGTTATTGTTCATATTATTTGTTATCAGAAAGAGTATGCATGGAATGATTCACAAAATAATTATTGTAACATTAAATAAGATGATTTATGAAGATACCATAAAGGCATATAGTATTAATGATTTCTCAGCCCAGAGTTCTTATATAAAAAAGTAAATAAAAACTTTTACAAACTATTGATACTATCTTAAAAGTACTTCAACACACAACTTTTAAAAAAATCTTTAAAAAAAAGAGAAAAGTTTTCTGCAGCTGTTTACACTTGATATTTCAATATACTTTGTGACCCTTTAAGATATTTAAACAGAGATTCAACTTTCTTTTTTAAAAATACGTCATTGTAGACAGTTCTCTACTGTTGTTGTAGGTACCTTTTTTCCATTAATTGGAGTAAAAAATAATAATAATAATAAACAATATTATTTGAAAATTGATTTTTGAAATCAGGCTCTATGAAGTTCACGCATGGATGTACTAAATAAAAAAACCAATCATTTATAATTTTTGAAAAATATATCGTTTTTTATAATACATAGCAGGAAGAGTCTTTTTTTCTTATTAAACATTTTTGGTCGTAATCAAAATGCTATTCAAAATCAAAATTATATTTTTTCTTCTTCTTTTTTTTTTTTTTTACTTAATTATTTGCAAATTATAATTATAAATTTATATTTTATTAGTAACAATATGTTATCGTTATAACAACCCGTCTAAGTTAAAGGAGAATTTCTTTTTTTTCAAATATGAGATTTTACTTTTAACATAATTTATTTAATCAGCTGTAACTGATAAAATCGCGATTTGTTGACTTTTTTTTATCATTCAAAAAAAGTAAAAACTAATTGTTGACGAACAAGTCATTAAGATAGATTTAAATGCTTTACATTGACTTATCATTTTAATGTTTGTGATTTTATTTTATTGTCTATATATTGGCTGAAAAAGGAGATTTTGGATATTGTATGCGGTAATGCATAACTTGGGAAGTGAATTTAATAACTTTTTATATTATTATGTTGTCTAAAGTTATTGTTGATATTGGTTCTATTAAAAAATTATATATGTTTTAATTAAAAAAAAATTCAGTTCACATCGAAATAATATAGTTTCTAAGTTTTACGGATATATATATATATATATATATATATATATATATATATATATATATATATATATATATATATATATATATATATATATATATATATATATAAATATATATATATATAAATATATATATATATATATATATATATATATATATTTTTTATTTATTTATAAACTTAAAGATTTGTTTTGCATCATTGGATTAAATATTTTTATAACTACTTTTAAAAATTAAGTGCCACGTATGCCACTAAAAAAGATCAAAAAATACGTATTGACGTATTTTTTGATCTTTTTTAACTGAAGAAATGACTTCTTTGAACATAATCCGTTTTTAAATTATAGTGATACTATAATTAAAAACACTGAGATTTTTTGTTAAAAAGTTTTTACTATGTTTGCTATTATTATTGCTATTATTTCTATACATTGATAATTATAAAGTTGTTAGTAAATTGTTGAATTTGTAGTTGTATGTTGCGTTCATAAAAGAACTCCATGGAAACAAATTACTCCATGGAAACATTTGACATTTATTATTTAACTTTTTTAAAATACGAAAAGTAAATGTTTTTCAGCAAGGAAATTATTTTCTAAAACAAGAAATTTAAGAATTTGGTTATTTAGCTTTGAACATAGTTACTGTTTATTAAGTTCTTTTTGACTTGATCGCTTGCTATTTTAGACTTATTTTGGGCTCGATTGCCTACTTGACACCTTAACACCTGTCGTTATAACTGTTTATCGTATCTCATATAAATACAATTAATAGTTATAACGACACGTATGATTGACAACAACAGTTATACAACAATTGATCTAAACGAATTTACATCACGATGTGTTTTTGAATATTTGCTATGTCAAATTAAAAACAGATTTTTTTATTACTGTCTAATTTAGAGTAAATTACATTACACCGCAAGGTCCGTGCGTTTTTAATTTTAAAAAGTGGGTTCAATTGAATGTGCGTAGTTTTTCATTACTGCAGTGTCTATTTTTGCAAACCGTAATCACCTTATCATGACGTAAATATTGTTCCACGCTAAGTAACGTAAAAGTAAATTAGTTTTTAAGCACAAAAAAGTGTTTTTAATTTTTTTTGTTTGTGTATTTTCTTGTTGGAGTATTAATTTATAGCAATGGTTGTATTTTATTTAAATTTGAATTCTCCTTTATAAATAATATTTAATTTTTAAACCATATTTAATTACCGGCTTATTGCCTTCTTTATTATAACATAAACTTTCTTCTTTCTTTTTTATTAAAGATATCAAATAATATTGCGGAAAACAAACAACAATAATTCATTAAAATTTGTATGGTTATGATTGTTAAACAAACTTGGGACCAATATTTTTTGTATTTTCTGTTTAAAGGTAGTTATATCTAATTATCCGACTTATAATTACATAATAAAGTCAACGGTGCATAATAAATGAGAATACAGAGCGACGTAAAATTGAAACGACTGTTATTTTGTTAACATAAAGTTCAGGACTTCAAAGTTTATTTTACCACTTAGACTAATAAAAATAGATTTAAAAATGTTAATCGTTGAGAAACAAAATCTTGTTCAGCCTGATGTTTTAGTTGTATGGTTTGTAAAAGTGGCTGGGGAAAACGAAGATCTACTCGGCGTTGATGAAACACCAATTACAAATATTCAATGGATTGCAATTGAAGTTGTAGAAAACAAGGTATGTTATTACATCTTTTGATTTATGTAATCTTATTAAAATCTTTTAAAATATTTAGTTTTTATTCTTTTCAGTGTCTTTAAAATGGAATTAAGTTAGCTGTGTATTTATTGTGTTATATTATCTTTTCGATTCTTTATAGTAAGAATGTTATGGGTGACAAATGCAGGCGATTAGTTAAATTTATAGACTTGATTATTCAGCACTATACAGAGGTTATCGAGCTGTTTAAAATTTGTCGCGCCGAATTACAGCTTAGAATTAGTATTAAAATTTCCTTCGACCACATAAACTATAAAGTTTATACGGTCGAAGAAAATTTCACCTGAAAAATGTAGTTCTGTTTAAAACGTACGCTATACGTTTAGAATAGATATATTTTTAACAAAATGTGTCTTAGGCACAAACGTTTCTAATCTTAACCAACAAAGTTTTTAAAAAAAGTATATGAAATATTTTACTTTAAATACTTAAAAACTACGAAATTGAACAGTGTTTAAAAATAATTATCCCTAATTGTAGTGTTTTTTTGAAGTTTTTATACTAAAAAAAAGAGAAAATCATTACAAACTAAGTAAATGATAAAATGATATTTGAAAAAAGTTTAAACTTCAATAAAAATATTTTGAAAAATAAAAAGACGACTTTTATATATGTACATATATAAAACCTTTAAAAATCAAAATTTTTTGCCAATTTTCGCTTTAATGTTATTTGACTTGATAAAATTTTTATTGTTGATTTATTGCTAATTACCGGTTTTCATAACTTTTAGACAGTCATATAATAACATCCTAAAAGTGCATAACCAAGCCCTATTGAAATTGATTTCATAAACTTTTTTTCATATATTTTTTTCATATATTTTTTTTTTTGCAATAAAATATAAAGATGTAATTATGTAATAATGATTATATACAACCGTAATAGCAATTACAAATACGACGTTTATTTGAAGAGTGAATTTGACGATTAAAAATTAATAACTTTTATTTTAAAAACATTTCTAAAACTTCTTTATAAACTGGAACTAAATTTATATTTAACTAACTTTAATTTATAAATAATTATCTCAATAATAACTAATAACGTTATAATCATAGGCAGTTATAAAGACATTTTTTAATTACTACGGAATGTCTAATTTTACATTTGCGTTACAATTTAGTCATAGAGCTATGTTTCCCGAAATTTGAAATAAAATTTTCCAAAAATAGAAACGCAAATTTCAAGTTTATTAAATGGAACAACATTTGCAATTGAAAATACTTATTTACGTCATTTACAACAACGCAGTAATTTACAAAATGGTAAAACAGCAATTTGTGAAATTTGTCGTTAAAAAATTTGCCATCCACAAAATTATGATTTCTAAAAATAAAATAAATATTATAATAAAGAAAAACGAGCGGCAAAATCGTAAAATAAAATTACATTGTCTACAATTACCATCTCTTTTGTTTTTGACGCAAACTACGGGTCTGATCGTCAATTCATTACATAGCATCAGTAGGATGATGTGAGATTTTTAAAGTTTAAAAAAACTTTTATTTTGAAATTTTATTTTAACAAATTTAAGGGGCCATCCATAAAGGACGTCATTCAATGAAGAGGCGGGGGGGGTCTAGTTTAAAAGAACAAAGGGAGAGGGGAGGTTGTCAGAAAAGGATGTCACTTTTTAGATTTTTTATTTTAGTTTAATTAGCATTGAAAACTACGTAAACATGTGTTTTTAAGAAGTTAATAGGCTGGGTGAATAAAAAAGACCAATTGCTTTTACTTAGTACTTGGTCAGCTTTACGTGAATAAAAACTTTAGGAGTTTTGCTTTAACTTTTATTCAACAAAAAACTTAGACAAAACAGCTAAAGTTTTTATTCATGTGAAGCTGACCAATTGCTGAGTAAAAGTAATTGCTTATTTTTATTCACCCAGTCTAATGTATGAGAATATTTTTAATTTTATTTTTCAAAGATGTAGCAGCAGACTCAGATATCATATCGAGATGAATTAAATTTTTTGGGGGTTAAAAATAGGGAGGAGGGGTCAGGATTTTATGACACCCTTCTCAAGGGGGGTATAGGGAAAAAGGACAACCAGTGACAAAGGGGGGAGGGGAGGGGTCAAAAATTGGCTAAATAATGGTGACGTCCTTGATGGCCCCTAAACTTATTTTTTTCAATTTTTTTGATCCATGATGACTGAATAATTTTTATATATAACCATATTTTAAAATTTATTACAAATTTTTGTAAAAATAAAAACAGCGTTTTTAATAAAATGAGCATGCTGATGTAAAACTAGGTTGGTGTCAACCAATTAGATTATGACTAGGGGCCACTCGGTAGGTTTATGTTCTGGTATCACTAAGGAGACTTGTGTCAAAATACTTATTTTAAAATTTTGTTTAGTAAACATTTCCTTATTTTTAAATTACGATCCATTCATTGAATATTTCCAATATCTTTGTATTAGTTCCTCTTAACAACAATTTATTTTTGTTGTTTGATATTGTTTTACATAATATTATCATTCAACTATAATACTTTTTTTTTGCTAATACATCTTTTAGAAAAATAAAAACCATTAAAAACCCGAGTCTGATAAACTACCTAAATGAAAATATAATAATAAAAGTATTATGCTTGCGTTTAGTTTAATACAATATTCAGGGGTGTCCCTAGAAGGGCAGAGGCACAGGGGTATATAAACCCTTGCAAAAACTTTGTTCAAAAATTATTCCGCAAATTTAGTGGGCAAATGTTAAACAACGAGGACCTTTTTTTTATTTTTTCAAGTCGTTAATCTGTAAAAAACAGACTTCAGTCCCCATGTAAGATTTCTTCGGGACAGACCAGATAATATTAAGTATTTTTTTGAACAGAATTCTGAAAAAAAAGGGAAGAGCAAGTTAAAAATTTTCGAGACAGCATATACTATACTAATGTATTAATTACTCAATAATTTGTTCCTGAGATTTTAAAGTATACAGTTTACATGCTCCAATTTTGGAATACCAGATACTAACTTGTTCAACAATGTAACATGAGCATGAACACAAACTTTGGACGTGCTCATGTTACAACTTAACTTAAGACTCATGGGATAAGTCTTTTTAATTCACTAAACCGACATTTTTTTACTATATAACACGTATGTGTAACAAATAGTTATAAAATTACTTTTGGTGTTGTTTGATTTTAAAATTAATTGTTTTAAAGATTATCCGCGAAGGAGAGTATATTATCTTTGATGAAAGCGATAATAATGAAAAAGTAATTGAAGCAAGTAACAAAGAATTAACATTAAAAGAAGCAACCAAACAGGTTAATTAATTTGTTATTCGTTTTTTGATCAATGGTGCAAAAATTAGTTATTTTTATAATAAACGAGTGTTTTAGTTAGTTTAGTATCCCAAACAATCTTTTTCAAACAATTTTTATTTAAAATAAAATGCTCAAACTATATTCAATGTTTTTAATTTCTATTTTAGTTTGAACAAGTTATTTTAGAACTTTCAGAGAATGATCGAATTGTTCGCTTAGTTTGTGAGAATAGTCTTCATATACGTCAGTGCTTGATACCACGTGCACAACAACAAGAGATAAAACTTGGCGACATATTCCTTAAATATTATGACATCAGAAAAGAATACAGGTCCTTTACCGAAAAAAATGTTACGTTCAAGAATCTTACTGAAATTTCGGAAGGTAATAGATTTTATCATGCTTAAGTAAATAAACTTATACAATGTCAGATAACATTCTTGATTTGTTAAGTTATTTATTAAAAGTTATCTTTTAAAATGCTGCTTGTATATGGTTTGACACATAGACCAAACATAAAATGATTGCATGATCGATATTTAAAACTTAAATGCTAATCAACATTTATTAATTGTAAGCTGCACATTTTTTACAATATCTTAAATGTAATGTTTTTTTAAGTATTTTAGTTCATTGATAATATATGTTCATTGAGTTTGAAAAAATTCTCTCATTCATTATAGATATGATTATTGAGTCTAAAGATGTACTTTCAAGTCTTGACAAAGCGTGTAGATTCTGTGCAAAAGTGACTCAGCATCTTCTCAAAGAAGGTTAAACACATTATTCTACTATGGTTGATCTCATTTAATATTAGTTGGTCTCTTATTATCATTCTTGTTAAAACATTTAATCTTAGGTCATAAGTTTTTAAAACTGGAAAGTGTCAGTCTTACTTTAAATGATGGCATGCCAACTGGCTATGTCAAAGATGATACAATTGTAAGAGCACGCGGTTTGCCGTGGCAAGTATCAGATGTTGATGTTGCAGCTTTTTTCACCGGGCTTAATATAGCAAAGTAAGTAGCAAACTTAATTTGAAAATCTTTTTTTAAAAACTTACTTATAGCTATAGCTTTAAAATTTCATTCTAGAGGAGGAGTTGCTCTTTGTTTAAATGTTAAGGGCCGAAGGAACGGCGAAGCACTTGTACGTTTCGAATCGTCGGAGCATCGTGACATGGCTTTAAGAAGACACAAACACCATCTTCTTGGTAGATATATCGAGGTTTAAAACATTAATTAAAGCGTATTATCTCCAAATTTATATCTCTAATATTTTTTAGCATATTGTATTTTTAACATTTTGTTTTAAATTTTAAACATGCTCTTATTTTATTTTTATTTTTTTTTAAGTGCACTGTTTTAATACATCATTGTTATGTTTTATTATATTTTGTATAACTTTATATTTGCTTTCATCATAGGTATATAAAGGTACTGCGCAAGAATTTTTAAAAATTGCAAAAGGTATAATTACACGAAGTTAAATATTTTTAGTTGCTATTACAAAGTTTCAAAAGTTTCATTTTCCTGTGCATCGAATTTGTAGACATATAATCAAATTAGATATACTTTTTAAATTTAAATAGGCCCTGCTGCTGCAATGCATGCTGCAGCAGAGTTTTTGACAAATGGTGGAGAAGTTATAATCCGTATGCGAGGTTTGCCGTTTGATGCAACTGTACATGACGTAGTAAGTTTTTAAATAGATCCTCAAAAATTACTCATGAATTTAATTCATGTTGTATGAATTTGTATTGCGTCTACATATATATTTAATAAAAACATGTGACACATACAGTCTAAATTTGTTTATGGATTGGCGTCACTTTGTTTGATTTACTGTTAATTTATTATTCATTAATTGATTTCTTTTTAACGAGTTCATTTTTACAAAACACGTGAATTTTGTCAGGTTGAATTTTTCGGAGATTCACCCAAAGTTCTTCAAGGAAAAAATGGTGTAATGTTAATATCCTACCCGGATGGAGCATCAACTGGAGACGCATTTGTTTTGTTTGAAACAGAAGCAGAGGGACAATTTGCATTAAAAAAGCACAGGGAAAACATTGGGAAAAGATACGTAGAACTATTTCGAAGCACACGGGCTGAGCTCCAACAGGTATTTAATATAAATGATCAGTTTGAAGGTGTTTTATATATATATATATATATATATATATATATATATATATATATATATATATATATATATATATATATATATTTATATATATTTATATATATATATATATATATATATATATATATATATATATATATATATATATATATATATATATATATATATATATATATATATATATATATATATATATATATATATAGATATATATATATATATATATATATAGATATATATATATATATATATATATATATATAGATATATATATATATAAAGAGAGAGAGGCAATTTTACAGGGGTGTTGGGGTTTTAGTTTAAAAACCTTTTTTTTTTCAGGAGCTAATTGGTATTTTTAAAGGACCCCCCTCATTTTATTCGTATAAATATACACATATATATACACTGTATATATATACACATTTTTGGGGCTTGAGTTCGGTAACTTCCAGACATTGATAATAAGGACTTGCGACCTTATTTTATCTTAATTTGTTTTGGATATTGGAGCGGAGATCTTTATATCAATATAAAAAAACTAATTATTGACAAAAGTGACAAAAGAAAGGTTTTCAAATTTGTTTACAACAAAAAAAAAATCATACAACTCTATGTTCTTAAGATAATGGCTATAAAATAAATACTAAAGATCATTCTTTGCAGCTCATTATACTTGGTCGTTATTAGTATTCCGTATCAAACGCGACAGTTTTATTTCTTTTGAGAAGATATGGAAATTAACATATCATCATTCATGTTGTTAGTTTCTCATTTAAAAATTTTGTACTACATTTTTTTCAATATAGGTTTTGGCTTCACCGAATTCCTTTATTTATATCTCCAGTTCCATTATGTATACAATACTTTTAATCTTAATAAGTTGAGCTACAAATGTGTGGCCCAACATAATCAGATTTTTTTTGATTTTATTCTAATGCAGCACAACTATAGTTTTTTTTCGGTAACTTTCAAGAATTGTATGTATGACAAACTTTTTTATGTTCATGATTATATCAAATAAAAAACAACAGCCCCAAAACTAGGACCATCACTGAAAAAATGTTGAAGTAAGTTTGCAGTAGTATCTCACTTTAAAGTTTATCAGCGTTAGGGTTTCAATAAACTAAAATAAAATATTAATAAACCTTATATTTTCTTCTTGGAGTAATCGTTACCGTACTATAAAACATTATAGTGTTACAAATCCTATAGTATAATCAAATCCATTGAATGTAAAAACAACGTTTGAAAAAAAATTAAAGTTTTGTTAAAAGGCGTATTATCAAATAGAATATTTGTTCCTGATTTTATATTTAACATTTTAACATTAGTTTTTAATATTCGGATTTAATAATACTTTTTTGCTCTGATCTGTAATTCATTTCTTAATTTTTTTTTAAATAGTTATTTTTAATTTAGAGATATTTAGCGTGAAGTTATTTCTAAGAGTTCCTAGGCTAAAAAAAATTTGATAATATATAACTTTTGAAACGAAACTTTTTTCGTTTTAAAATGTAAATAATTTATCGTCTTCAATTGTTGTCGGTGTTTTAATGCTCCAATTTCGCTTTTGCTTTTTGTATTGTGTTGCGTCTATTTGTGAGCATATAGATACAAGGCTATTTCATTTTGAATGGTTTTCAGGTGCTTGTTAAATTTAACACCCCGCGCTGGTTGATAAAGTTTTAATTATTGAACGTACTGAATTATTCATTTAAGCTCTGATATTTCTTTCCGTTTAAAAGAAATGTTTTTTGACAAACAATACACATTTTTTTCATCAACAATAACGTTGATTTCCTCAGCAAACAATTGCTTTTGTTCAAAGAGAAAACGATAATTTCTTTAATATATATATTTTCTTCAAAGGTTAAAGCCACTGATTGTAAAAAAAACCGTATTAAAAGTTTTTTTAAATTTTAATTTTTGCAACTTTTTGGCTCAAGAATTATGCTTCTACGTATCGTATTTTTTTGTTATTTATATTTTCTTATTAAATGAGTGAACGCTAGTTAACTCATTTAATAGTTTCCTTCATATATAATTTACGTTTTACTTCAATAACGATTATGTAATGACTCATTTAAGTAACATATCTTATCAAAAGTTTTGACAAATTTTTTAATCTTAAAACATTTTATTATAATTTGAGGAGACGTATTGATCGTTAGTTTGTTTCTAGTTCGACTTTTTTCGAAGAGTTTGCTGTAAAATGAACGCAATGAGGGTTTTACAAACCGAGATGTTCGTATTTTTTAAAAGTTAAAATATATTTATAACTATTTTTCGACTGTAATAATAGTATTTGCTATATAAATGAGCGCGCCCTTGCGAACTAAACATTTGTTAAACAATTTGAATATCTATAATATATTTTTGAATATCTTTAATGCATAAATTTTTTATATTCTCGTTAAATAGTTTCTTATTTTGCAAATAAATTACATTAAATACGGCGTATAAACAACACTTTTTACTGTTTTTGACAAGTTGCCGAATACTACATCATTCATAAGTATATAGAGAAGGATGTGCGTTTATTAAAAACCAGAAGTTTTGTCACAGAAGTACTCACACTAATACTTTACCGAGCGTCATTCATTAAATTATAATTGACTTCAGAATTATTGCAAAAGAAAAAAAAGTCATTTTTAACTTGTGGTTTTCAGCTATAGCTTCAACCGTCTTTATACCTAAAGCGTAATAACTTAAAAATACCTCAAAAGGAATATAGAAATTATTTACTTTAGATACTTAAAACACAAGTTATATGTTTTCCAATGTATATTATACGACAAATATTGTTCTTTGGGTTGATGGTTTATATACAAAAAATTACTTACATGATTTCACATTAAATAATTTAATATCAGATTGTTTAGCGGTAAGTTATTGAAAAAGGTTTTATAATTAAGGATAAAAATAAACCTTAATTTTAAGGTCGTTTACCAATTTTTCCTTCAATTGTTTTTTATACCTCATTTTTTGCTCTTAAAAACGTTAAATTAAACGTAAAAATGTACACAAATCTAATTATTGCTTTGTGTGTTGTGTATCAAAAAATTCTTTGAGTGATTTATTTTATACATCTCTGATGACATGATATAAATCCATGTAAGTAAAGATTCTTTTAAGCAACATCTTACATAAACACATTATAAGCGTCTCAATATTGCATTCTATCACTTAGACCCGTCATACAAATTGTATAGCTCTTGAAATAGATTTTATTATATTTTGTGAAAAATGAACTTTTTAAACATTTAAATTATTTTAAATTACTTTAAAATTATTTAAACTTTAAAATTTAAACAACTATAAAAAAATTTTTAAGAGTATACATCTACAACAAAATAAACACTTAATTAATAATTAAATTTAATATAAATAAATTATAGTAGAGAATATTCAATTATTTTTCTGATTAACTGGTATCGTATACGTTACTTTCAAACTATTTTTAGGTACTAACTATGTATAATATTGGATACCAATTGGTAACGCCTGTTCCTGGTCAACTACCTTTTCCAGGTTCGGGTTTGAATGACAGGGCACTTATAAATCAACGCCTTCAAGCATTAATGAATATGTCATGTCTAAGAATGCGTGGGTTACCATTTTCAGCTTCTCACAAAGATATTTTAAACTTTCTTGGAAATTACAAAGAAAATGTTGTAGGAAGCGTTCATATTATTTATAATTTGCAGGTAAATCTATTTTTAAAGTAAAAATATATATTTTTTTAATTTTTAAAGAAAAAATAATATTTTTTTAAAATTGTGTTCAAAGTAAAAATATTTTTTTATTTTTACTTTAAAAATAAATTTTTTAAATTTTTTTTTAAATAAATAATTTATTTTTAAAGTAAAAATAATTTTTTTTTTTTAATTTCTAAAGTAAAAATAATATTTTTTCAATTTTTAAAGAAAAAATTTACCAACAATGTAGGGCAAATTTCAGAAAAGCAAAAATACTTTTATTAATTCAATTTATTTCATTTCTTTTAACTTTTATTTTTATATTTAATATTTAATTTTAGTTGTTTAGTTATTTTTGTTACACTTTTATAAGCTATAACAATTTCAACTTTTAATTTGTTGACCACTAGGGTCGCCCTTCCGGAGAAGCTTTTGTCCAACTTCAAACTGCCGACCAAGCACATACCTGCGCAAATGATCGACATCTTAAACACTTAGGAGAGCGTTATATAGAAGTGTTTCAATGTTCTGTTCAAGATATGACATGGATGCTTGCAACTAGTCATGCTAATCAACTTGCATCACAACAACTCAACCATGCAAACAAAAACGTCTCTATCTACCATCAACAATCGCCAACTTATCACACAGCAACAGCACCACAATATCATCCTTCAACGCCATCGCCTCCACCTGTTATTCAAACCACATCAGCTCCAACAATTATTGCACCTCCGCCTTTGACGTCTACTGGTATTTTAACACCTATTTCTCCCATTCCAATATACACAGGCCAGTTTCCTCAAATTATTTCGCCAATAGCTAATGGATTTGTTCCAGCACAACATCTGGGACACAACCATCAAGTTATGCCACCCATGATTAATGGACATTTAGTATGTATTAACATTTTATTATTTAAAATAGTTTATTCAACTACTGAAGTTTATATACAAATGACAACGGTACAAAGTTTGTAATGTAAGTTTCGGCTTTTTGCCGAAAATAAGCATTACAAGAGTTTTTAAAACATACATTGATATTGTATTTGGTTTAGAAAGACAAAATGCATTTTTTAAACACGAAAATAACCACAAAAATTCTCAAAACTTTAACATTTTTATTCTCTCAAAACATTCAAATCTTTCTAAAGTACTCCAATATGCCGGCATTAGTCTGTTATATATATATATATATATATATATATATATATATATATATATATATATATATATATATATATATATATATATATATATATATATATAAACGTTTAAGTTTTATGCTCACTTATTAAATGTTATTAAGTGATTTTCTACTAAGTTATTGCTCTGTTCTATTAAGAAATTTGAGCATTCTATTTATGTATAATACATTTAAGGTTATTTATATATATATATATATATATATATATATATATATATATATATATATATATACATATATATATATATATATATATATATATATATATATATATATATATATATATATATATATATATATATATATATATATATATATATATATATATATATATATATATATATATACTATTTCAATTTAGTTCAACCAAGAGACAATTCATTATCAAATAAATCCGTTTGGAAAACCTGAAGTGGCATATATTGCATTTGCTCCTCATGAACACTTTCATCACGCTTCGTTTCATTTTGATAAACAGAAGTTTATAGGAAACAGATACGTTGAAATGTTTTACGCTCATTAATAAAGCAACTATAAAATAAATATTTATATAAAAACAAAGATCATTAAAGATATGCAAAAACGCAAGGAAGCATTTTAAAATTGTTGTACAATTTCTAACTAAGTAGTGGTTCTGATTATGATTGTTAAATCAGTCAGACTACCTCCTTTGTATTTATCAAAGCATTATTTATAACTTTTTAACAAAAATAGAACGTCATTATTAAATTTTGAGGATTGAATATTAAATTAAACTACAGGAATATTTTGAGCAAAATTTTTACGTTAACTTTAGAAATTTTTATTTAGACAAGTTTTCGACTAAACTTCTTTGTTCCACAAACAAAAATCCTCTAAACAGAGTTTATTTTTCTAACCATCTAATGTTTGCTTTTATACTATTAGTAATAATGTTTATATAATTATTTAAATTTAATTTATTGCTATTTAGCTTTGTCATAAATGGAATATTTCCGACGGAGCATATAGAGAATTTCCCAACATATTTTATTTATTATTTTAAAACTGTATTTGTTTACCTATTTTCTTTTATTCTTAAAACGTCAAGTATTGTAAATAAATTATGACCTTTATATTTACTTATCTGAAATAGTAACATTAAAAAATGATTTAATGTGTTTTTGACAAAGTATAAACATATATACATATATACATAATACATACATACATATATGTATATATATATATATATATATATATATATATATATATATATATATATATATATATATATATATATATATATATATATATATATATATATATATATGTATATTTTACAGATTTATTTTTATATATATACATAAAAAAAAGCTGCAGTATATAAAAGGTTATTACTTAAAAAGTTTTTTAAGTTGAATAATTCTGTGCAAAAAAGTTAAAGTTTTCTTGTTTTGAAATAAAATTTTGTTTTATTGTTGATTTTATTATTTTACATTTTAATACTATGTTTATATTAACAATAGTTTTGTTTTTTTTAAAGAAAAGAACACTATTTCAGCCAGGAAACTTTTGTTTATCTAATAAAAAGTTAACTAAGGTTTTAACTAAAGTTTTTTTGGTTTGTTTTGCGAAAAGACAGTAGTTAACGTTTATAATAACATTAATGTATCTAGCGTAAACTTTTTTGATAACGTTTATTAACTTACCACTTCGCAAGGTAATATTTGTTATTGCAATTTATTGAAGACATGGTGAATCAACTTTTTTTACTAAACTTAGCAGTTAACGAGGTAACAGTTTGCTTAAAGTACTGATATGAATCCACACCCTCCTTAAACGTAAACACTCAGTCAATGCATGTCCATTTAATTGTAATTGGCATTATTTTAGGTTAATCTCTACAGTCAAATCTTTATTATCAGCCGACACAGGCTTTAGAGTTTTGTCGAGAAAACGTATGATTTGCTTTTTCCCGGCTCTGACCAATTATGCATCATTGGTACGGAAGGAGGCGTTCACCTTCTGATTAAATGTTATTCCGCGGTACTCTGTGATAAGACCGTTAGGACTTCTTGGGGCACCTAAATAACTAATTAAAAAAATAATTGAAAAAGAAAAGAATTAAGTTTCTAATCAGATTTTAAATATTGAAACTTTGATAAAAAAGCTGTAAGACAGAGTAGAACAACTTTTTCATCTAAATTTTTTTAATGTTTTAATGTTTATGCTGTTTCATTTTTGCTTATATGTTTTATAAACGTTTAAAACACGTTTCATAGTACTAATTGCCCTACGAATACATGACGTTTTTTAAGGAGAGAGAGAAACTTTAAACGATAAAATTTCGAAACGATAAAAACAAGCTCTGGGCATATTTTCCGTCACGGTAAGGAAGGAAGCGTGAACATCCTGGTTAAATGCACTTCCGCGGTGCTCTGTGACAAGACCGCTAGGACTTCTTGGAGCACACTAATAACAAAATTAGAAAAAAAAAATTATTGATAAATTTTAATACACCTGCTTATTAAAGCCTCTAGATTTTGATTATCATATTATAACTGTTCATCAATCATATATTTTTAAAAATGTATTTTCAGGTTAGTTTTAAACAGTAATGCTATTAATCTCAAATGAACACCTAAAGCACTATAAAAATAAAAACCATCAAGTTAAACAAGTTACGGATTCAAAACATATAAAAAGATTCAAAATATAAAAAATTTGACTTTCACGGTTAGAAGTTAAACAAGATTAAACTAGCAAACAGACCCTAATTCGGGACTTTATATAAAATATGTAAATATATGCATTATATAAAACTAATCTTCACTCATGATCTAAAAGTCTTACAAGTAACAATAGTTAAACGTTTTATCCTTATGATACCATTGCGTTGCACAGTGGAAACATTTCATTGAAATAGGTGGTTAAACATATAATCGTTGTATTTTTGTAAATATTAAGTCTTAATTAAGTAAAATAGAGACTTAGGAAAATGTTTTTTTATTTTTATGTTTAACCAGGGAAGGGGGAGGGAAAGATGCTGATCAACTAGCGCTGAGAGCATTAGTTGGATTTTTGTATATATTCGGGAATTGTCAAAGCAATGGACTATTTCAAAAATGCTACAAACTTATCATTTTCATGCTTAATTCAAAATATGCTTTGCAAATAAATTGCGGTGATTGAAGCCTGAGATCAAAATACCTCAAAACGTTAGCCCCACCCCTTATGTGAGGGTAATGAGTACAAAAAAAATATTTGTTGCTTATACTAAATTTAGATTCATTGACAGGTTTTAACTTTTATCAAATAACCTTTTATTCTTTAAAAGTTATGATCATGTAAAGTTAACAACCTTCTTTTTTTGGGGAGAGTAATTTAACAGGTTATTAGTTGAGAATTAAAACCTGTCGTTTTAATTCTCAGCTTATAATAAACGATAATAATAAAACAAATAATAAAAAAAAGCAACAAATAAAATTTTGGGCACTCTTGTTTCCAAACTCCAATCGAATCACTGCAGTTTTTTTAAATATTTTATTTGATATTATTTATACATTTAATAAATTTATATAGTAGGCAAGCGAATATAAAGTTATGCATTATTTAAGTTATACAGTTTAGAACTTTATTCTTCTACATCTATATCTAATTCTACATATTTCTACTTAGTTTATCGCGGTTATAAAGTAATTTATCTGATACCATATCAGATGAATTTTCTCTATAACCGCTATAAACTGCTTGCAAACTTTTGACTTTTTCCTTTTGGCACAAAATTTTCTTAGTTTTCAATCTTTTAGTAAATGAGATTAGGGGCCATCCATAAAGGACGTCTCCATTTTTTAGCCAATTTTTGACCCCTCCCCTCCTTTGCCACTAGTTGTCTTTTTCCCGTATACACCCTGGAAAAACCAAAAAAATTTATTTCATCTTGCAATGATGTTTGAATCTGCTGCTACACCTTTGAAAAATAAAACTAAAAATATTTTCATACACTATCTTCTCAAAAACACATGTTTACGTAGTTTTCCATGTTAATTAAACTAAACTTGTCATTTTTTGTCCTTTTTAATTAGACCCCCTCCCCCCATTTGGATGACGTTTTCTATGGATGGACCCTTAAACTAATTAGGGGATCAAAAATATGTATAGCTTGATTGAAAATATCAGATAAATTTGTTTTTCTGCTTTTTTTCCTTGCATGACTTTAATCCTCCCAGAAAAAAAAGTTCTATAGAATTTCTATAAACTTTTGAAACATATGGCCGATAAAAGTTATATAGAATTTCTATGGAATCTCTGTTAATTTCTATAGAAATTCCGAGATGACTTTTTTTTTTTAAAATAGAAAAAAAATATAACTTATTCCTAAAATACATATTTTTTGACCCACTTTTGTATTTTTATAAGATACATATGCCTTGATACCATATTTAGGACACAGTAGGTGCCCTAAATAAGGCATCTACTAGTTCCCAAAGCTCAGTGGACTCCAATATGGTTGGTAGTTTTCCCATCTTGAACTTGTCAGAAAATTCATACTGAACTAATCTATCTAACATCTTTTACTTTTCTTCCTGCTCTACATCTTTATCAGAGATAGCAACACTATCTGCTCAGTCAAGTACCAGTTATGTCTTTGCATACTAGCAACCTATGTCAAACCAAGATTGGGATATTTATTTTTGATGAAAAAAACATTCTTGTAAGTGGCAAGATCATTTAAGGAAGAATTTGCAATCAAATACAAATTTAGAAACCAAAGTGCATACCAGACAGATGTGGAGAAGACTGCTGTCTCCTCTTTTTTTCATTGCTAATAATCATAGTGATCTTATCCATTAATCTCAAGTTAAGAATAAATAAAGAATAATTCGAGCTCTTAAAATGGCATAGTCTTGACCTTTTTTACTCAGATGACCAAGATTATTGTGGTACCAGGACCGTTTCTAGGGTATGTAAAGATATTTAACCCCCGATAAAAGTTTTTTATTTAAAAATCAGTCGACAAATTTGGGCTCTGTAGTCGGAAAACTTGGGCATTGAGTTGGCAGTCGGCAAATATTAGCCAATGAGGATCTTTTTTTTTAGTTGGCAAAAAACATATACGTCACGTTCCCTTTTAAGATCTTTTTAGGATAGCCTTGGATCATAGATTGGCTAAGTCTAACTGTCTTAATAGTCTACAGCAACATGTAGGAAAGCTGAATCCATTTGCAAATTTTGTGCATTATAGCAGTCACGTTTTCAACTTGGTTTTAAATTCTCTTTTTTTTTCTGTTTCTAAAATAGTATTGTAAAATCACATCTAGTGCTACTATTTTCCTGGTTTTTACGTAGGAGAGCTTAAATAACTGAACCAAAAATTTGAAAAACAAAACCGGGACTGCAGAAAAGCATTTAAATAGAAAGTTCACGCCTACTTCCTTACCAATGTTGTTTATTGGACTAGAGCTGGTGTCGAACCTCGTGACTAATCATTCTGAGCCAGAACTCTAACCACTGCGCCACGGCTGCGCAATTATGAAAGAAAATATTAGATAGAAAACCACCATTTTTATCAACACCCAATTGGGCTCTAAAGCATGTGTTTTGCTTAACACAACGCAAAGTTTTTAGCTCTATTGCCCTGAACTCAACTTTAAAGTTGTGCTTTAGATGCTCTATAGTTTTAGGCTTGTTTACTTCACTGTTGTCTAATTCACTGTCACTGCATTACCAACTATATTCTCAAAAAAACAGGACCTTAAATGATTCACTCCACACTTGATCAAGTGCAATTAACGCTGGTGAACTACTCTAAGGTTTGAAGAAACCCAAAATTGCATATTTTGGATATTCACATATTTATTAAGATAGAATAAAACTTCATCACTCATAATTAAATGGTGAAGAAACTCGTTGTTTTCTGCGCAGAACAACAGAAAGCGTGTAGCGCAAATTAGTTGTTGCTGATAGACAACAGGTAAAAGTTTTAGAGTCAAATTAAACTTGTATAGATGCATGTGTAAATATTGAGATTAAATTCGCCGAAGTGATGTTATAGATATCCCTAGTAGTCCATAACGTTTTTGCGTCGATGTTTTTGCATGTTCTTCAACACTGCCCTGTACACGATCAATGTTCACTTGGCTATGCACTATTCTTAATATTTCTGTTTGTGGTAAGTCTGATTCTGAACCTTTTTGTCAAAACCGTACAAGTACACGGTTAATTCCATTTTGGTGTTGAAATAATCGTAAAAGTAAAACTCTACCATTTTAATCCGTTGTTGTTTGTGTATAGAATGCACAAAATTTTTTATATCGGTATTGTTTTACATGAATAAAACATTTCTGCATTAGCGTTTTACTGTTTTTTATAAAATTTTGGCAAATAGTTGTTCACCAAAACTGTTAATTTAGCTGGGTAAACACTATAACAGAATGTTTGCGTAAATATGCGGTTTGGTCCTATATTACTTCCTTGTTGTTCATAGACAATATAACAGTCTTTTTATGATAATTATTACTTAAAACTTCTTGATGATGAACCACAAAACTAATTTATAAAATTTATTTCAAACACAACAATTCTAATTAGCTAACCGCAATACTAAAGTAACAGGGTATAAAAGCTACTTAATCAATACGGTCAACAGTTTATTTCGAATCAGAAAAAAATTTGAAACCAAAAAAGTTAGGGAAAAGTTGAAAGGATAAGCATACAAGAAGACAATCTTAGCTTTATAAACATGACGCTTTTTATTTTCATAGCTCTTTCCACGTTTGTTGAGATCAATCTATCAGCTCCAGTTGTGGAAATCAAATTTTCAGCTCCAGTTTTAGGTAGAATCATTTTTTTATATTTTTGTTTTCAAAGAAATTTAATATACTAAATTAATTAAGTATTATTTTTCTTAAAAAAGTTTACTAATATTATTAATAATTGTTATGTTAATTATACCATAGCTCTTTATTAACTTAGAGGTTTTAATTCCTGTTCATTTTTATTTGTATATAAAGAAAAGTTTAATAATAATAATAATAACAACAACAATAATAATAAATATTAATGACAGTAAGAGGATTGTTCTAGAAATGAATGCGGACGTGGTGCAGTAGTTTTTCAAGTCTTCAAAATATTTTGAAAAAATTTGTCTCAAATTAGTTCTTAATCTGTATGTGGCTGAAAGATTACTATAAAAAAATACTGAAAGGATATTTACAGTATTTCTTTTTTACAAAGGATACTTTTATTTTGCTAAAGCGAGTTATTTTTTTTTTGTATTAGTATTAGGCTTTGCACACAAAAATGCAAATTTAGTTATGAGATTAAACAGGCTTTAATTTTATTAAATAATTAGTTTAAAATTTATTATCTCTACGTTAAAACATCTAAAAAATTTGTAAATTAAAATTTTCTATTTTGTTTTGATAATTCAATTGATGAATATTTTAAATTAAAATTTTATTTAGTTTTTTAAAGACATAAAAAATTAAAATAAATTTCTGCTGCCGCTTGATAAATTTCAAATTACTTAGCATATGTGTTTTTAACCCTTTATTTCCCAGTGATGCCATATGGCGTCATTGACTTAACATAGCAAAAATAGGTAGTATACTAACCATGTGAAGGAAGTAACTGTGATTGTTTGCAAAAATTGTATGAAAACACTGCTTTTACTCATAAGCACAAAGGTTTAGCACATAGTTAGCATAATGCCTAATTTTTTCTGTATAATGTCAATGACGCCTATGACGTCACAGGGAAATAAAGGGTTAAAATTACAATAATATGCTAGAAAACGTTTTATCTACAAAATTTTTATCGGTTAGCAACGCAGTGTTGGGTCCTTTTGAAAATAAAATCTCATTGTAAATAATGCTTTTTAACTTTATTATTGATATGATTGTAAATAATGCTTTTTAACTTTAATATTAATATGGTTGTTGAAAAATATGATTGTTAAAAATAATATTATTGAAAGTTAAAAAATTAATAATTTCTTAAGACAATGAATCTTTTCTATAAAAGTTTCTTATAAAAAAGTTTTTTATAAAAAGTTCAAAAAACTTTAATTTATGGACGGTTTTTAAATTTCATTTTTTTAATCTTTTAGCTGTCTAGATTTATGATTATTTAAAATTTTTAGCTGTCTAGATTTATGATTATATAAAATTGAGTCTGTTTTGAAAAGTGCGGAAATTTTTCATGATTATTACTTTTGAACGTTAAAAGATTAAATGAAATTTAAAATCTTTTGAAAAATTAAGGTTTAGTATAAAATGCTAAAAAATTAATATGTATTGAATCATTGCCATTCGGAGTAGGGGCAAGGGAGGTTTTTGAGCATTTTTGTTCTCAAGCTCAAATTTCGCAATTTTGCACAACACATTCTCATGTGTCATAAGCATAAACACACTTAAATTTAGAGTATGCACAATGCCTAAAGTGGTTTAAGTAGTAAAAATTATTTTACATATTATAACTTTTTAAATTTTATATTTATTTTTAGATAAAGAAGATGTTGATACAGCAGTTGAGACTTTAAATATTAACAACAAAATATTATTTAAAGATATAAACTATACAACAGTATCTGACAATGTAAATAATGCAACAGCAACTAATCATATAAAAATATTGAATAATAGTTTTGAAGACAAAAATGCTGACAAAGCAGATTTAAACGTTAATGAGGATTTAAACCAGAATTCAATTCGATTTAACCAAAATGAAGAGAGTGTTCAAGCAACAGGTTTACTCTCAGAGATAAGTAACAACGATGAAAAACTTTATTACAATTTAAACAATTTTGAAAATAATTTTGACAAAAAAAATGCTAAAGACGAAGTTGAAATTGAAAACGATAGTTTAAAAGATGATCGCGCTGATATTGAAACGGCAAGTGAAGCTAATGAAATGGAAGATAAAGCTGATGAAATGGGAAATGAAGCTGATGAAACTAGAGTTAAAGCTGATGAAACGGCAAATGAAGTTGATGAAATGCTAGGTGAAGATGATGACGAAGCAATAAACGAAGCTGATGAAACAGCATATGAAACAGATAATTATAAAATGGTAGACAAAGCTAATGTAATGGAAGACAACTTATTTGTAACGGCAGATGTTGCTGACGAAACAGAAGATAATGCTGACAAAATGGAAGATGATGTTGATGAGAATATTGAAAATGGGGTGAGTCTAACTGATTTTTCTGATAAACAAAATGCCAATTATGATGAAGATCTAGCCGATAAGGTATTTAACGGAAACAATGCAGATGAAATTAATTATGATAATAACGAAAATGATGCAGATGAAATCGTTAATAATGCTGATATTAATGACGAACAAATTTACTAAGGAGAACAATTATGATGATAATGAACATTTTTTTTAAAACTGAAAAAAAAGAAAAAAAAATCTTTTTTTAAAAAAAACTTTAAAAACAACCAACAATAAGATATTGTAATAATTCTCTTGGAAAAATATTTTTCTTTTAAACAATTAAAAAAAACTAAAAAAAATCCCAAGAAATTAAATTTAAAAACTGAAATACCTTGTAAAAACAAAAATAAAAATAATTAAAAAAATTGTTAAAGAAGAAAATGAAGATCAGTTTAACGTGAAAGTGTTTTTAAATTAAACCTGTTGGTAATTAAACTGTGTTGGTAAATCAATTGTTTTGATGTACGTACAATCGCAAATGGCTTAATCTTAAAACACGCAAAACGTAGATGTTTCACACACATAGCGGTTAAAATCTGTGATAAGAAGTAGTAAAAAAAAGGATTGTAAACATGAAACATGAATTTTTATTTGTCAGAAAAATCTTTGTAACCGTAGTTTAAATATTTTTTAAGTAGTAATTTGCAAATCTAAACAAAATAGTGTATTAAAATTAGTTTCCTGGGAGTTTAGAATTATGCAATTTTTTGTTCAATAATTAGAAACACTTCTTTCAATAAAAAAAATAAGAAAAAAACAAACACTGTATTTGAATCTATTTTAGAAGATGTTCCGAAATAGTATTAACATTAAATTTGTTATTAATTTTTATTAGTTGTTACTAATACAAAAGATACAGTAGAAGAATCAATATTTTGAAAAAAGTATTAACAAATTTTTGGGCACCATGAGGTATTTTTAACTTTTAAGTAGATATTTCTTCCTCTAATTTCTCCTAACTTATGCGAAAATATTTTATACATAGTATATTATATAATCTAACTTTTTTTTGTTTAATCAACCCACCAAATATTGTTTTTGTTATTCCAACATATGCTACTTATAAAAATATAGTTAGTATATATTTAAGTTACTATTAGTATATATTAGAGTGCTGGCTACACTGTAAAAAAAAGGGTTTTTTAAATAGCTCTAAAAAGTTTTTTACTTTGTCCCGAGGGTGGAACCCTTTAAGGGTTTTCTTGAAAACCCTTTTTTTAAAAACCTTTAATCCGAAACTGGAAAACCCTTTTTTAACTTGAACTTTCGTTTTTATTTGAATTATAAATTATTCAAATTTTTTTTATATTACGCAATAACGATTTCAAGCACGTATAAAGTTGGATATATATAACGTATAAAGTTGTATATTTAGGATAGATTGAATATACACTTTAATTTATACATAATATTGCTTATATGCAAATGTTTAGATTCTTTAATTCCACTGCAATTTGGCATGCAATATATAACTCAATAAAAAAAGTTCTGTAATAATGTTTAAAATCTTATTAAGTAATAATGTTTAAAATCTAATTAAAGTAATATAATTAAAGTATTAAATCTAATTAAAGTAATTCTTTAATTCTTTAATTCCACTGCAAATTGGCATGCAATATATAACTCCATAAAAAAATTCTGTAATAATGTTTAAAATCTTATAACATTAAAGTAATATACAAAAAAGTTTACATAAAATTAGAAAAACATCAGAGACATGTAAATAAATGTTGTACAAAAAAAAACAAGTTGTACAAAACTAAAATAATTGGAAAATAACGTTAAAACTATTATATGAAACTATTATGAGCAAAAATATTAAACTATTTTTACCTATTATACAAATTTTCTGTTACAAATTTAACTATTACAACTGTTATATTCCAACAAAGTGATATGAAGTTTATTTACGATAAATCGCCTAGTAGCACAATAAAATATAATAAAATTTAGAAATATTGCAAATATTCAAATATCAGTTTTTCGGAATTTAGTGACAAAAAACATAAGTTATAAAGATTAACAACAAAAACATACAAAAAAAAAAATCATAAATTTCAGTCCAAAATCGGTTGCCCTATTTGCTGACAACATTTGACACTTTTCCTTTCCTACCAAGAAGCACTTTTTCTAAAAATTGACATGTATTGGACAATCCTTTTGGAAATTCAATGCTGAATATCCAAAATACTGCAAACCATGCTTAAAAAGCCTCGGTTAAACTGCAAATAGTTTTAGGAAACAAACCTTCCTTGTCGACTGATATATTCCATTCGTCGCTTTGTGACAATATGACTGGACTAAGTGGTATTTCCTGTATAAATAAGTAAATAAATATAATAATTTATTTAATAAAAAAAACACAACCCGAAACAACTTAAAAACCATTTAGTACAAAGCTCTGAAAATCATTCAATTTTAAAATATCTTAATTGAAAACATTACCAGCACTTCCTTGCCAGCACCCTATAGAGTGCTGGCAAGAAAGCAGAAACTCAATTAACAACACAAGAAACTCAACGTGTTAAGATCCTAACACCTTTTCGAAGTTACTTTAAATACAAAGACTAAATAAAAAACTAAAAACCGTTATAAAACTTAATTTAGAAATATTAGCTGCAACTTATAAAATTCATATTTTTGTAAATGGGACAAAGAAGAGTGTAAACTAACACTGATGGATGCGCTGATGCACGGATGGACTGATAGATGCCCAAACCACGTTGCTGTTAACAGGACCGTCCCGAAGAGATCTTTAAGGAAGGGGGAGGTGGAAGGGGAGGGAAGTATCTTATTTTTGCCGACTAAGACCTAGAAAATTTTTTTTGTCAACTAAAATCTTAAAAAAATAAGCTCTTCGTTGGCTAACATTTGCCGACTCCAGTGTCTAAACTTGCCGACTAATTTGTGAATAAAATTATTAAACTACTTTTATTTTAGGACAAATGACAAAAATTGCTATAAATTATTTTCTTAATAAACATAACAAAAAATTATTATTTTTGCCATGAAAAACATAGGAAATTACACACATAGTTAAAAAAACAAAAAAAAAAAACATTATTACTATAATTAAGTGTAAAGTTTCTTACGTCATACGTAACCCCGATGCCATTAATAACCGCAATGTCATTAGTTATTCCGATGAATTTTACCATATTCATCGGAATAACTAATGATTATTACCATATAAAAGTAGGAATAATTAAAACGGATATATCTGACCACTACCCAATTTACTTCTCACTATCACAACAAGCAACATGTGTCAATAACTTGAAAATAAAAATCATCAAAAGAAGCATAAATAAATTCTCGACCCAAAAACTAAAAGACTCACTAGCGGTAGTAAATTGGTCAAAAATATATCATAAGTGTAACCTCGGACACACAAATTCCGCTTACAATAAGTTTATAAATATTTTCCTAAATCTCTACAATAAACATTTTCCAAAGGTTGAAAAAAAAATTAAAGCAAAATACCTAACCACTCCATGGATTACCAAAGGAATAAGAAAATCGTCAAAACAAAAACAAAAACTCTACATAAAATATCTAAAAAATAGAAACCATATTAATTTGTCCAAGTATAAACAATATAAAAATCTATTTGAAAAAATAAAATTAAAATCCAAAAAACTATATTTTTCAAAGCAAATACAAAAATTTAAAGGAGATAATAAAAAAATCTGGGATATTATAAAAGAAATAATTGGTAAAGATAAAAAAAACTCGAACCAACTACCTCCAAAAGTTCCAACCTCCAACCAACTACCTCCAAAAGTGAAAAAGAGTTTAATAATAAAAAAATTTTCTCTGAAAAATTTAACAAATACTTTGCAAGTATAGGTTCCGAACTTGCCTCTAAAATTCAACCTACAAACAATTCATTTGAGAATTACATCGAGGACTTTTGTTGCTCCCTAGTTTTTAAAGAACTAGAATACGAAGAACTTGAAACAGCAGTTAAAACATTAAAAATTAACAAAGGTCCAGGTATCGACAATATCCCAGCCAATATTATTTTGAATGTCTTTCCAGAAATAAGTAAACCCATTTTTTAAATATTTAACTCTTCAATAATTACAGGAAATGTACCCGACTATTTAAAAATAGCTAAAATTATTCCTATCTATAAATCAGGAGATACATCTTCCTTAAATAATTACAGACCAATATCAATCCTTCCCGTATTTTCAAAACTGCTCGAACGAATAATCTACAATCGTTTATATAAATACCTAACCACAAACAAAATCCTGAATGAAAACCAATATGGTTTTCAAACTCAGCACTCGACAGAGCATGCTATCATAGACGTCAATAGAATTAGTAAATCAATCTATGAAAAGAAGTTCGTATTAGGAGTCTTTGAAGACTTGTCAAAAGCGTTCGACACAATAAATCATGAAATCCTACTTAAAAAGTTGGAAAAGTACGGATTAAAAAAACATACACTACAGTGGTTTAAAAGTTACCTGTATAACAGACAACAGTGTGTTATTACAGATGATAATTACCACAGTAAATTATTAAAATCAACTTGTGGTGTTCCTCAAAGTTCGATTCTTGCTCCTCTTTTGTTCCTAATCTATATAAACGACCTTCCAAAAGTTTCTAGCAAACTTGAATTTATAATGTTTGCAGACAATACAAATTTATTTTACTCTTCGACAAACATCGAGGATCTGTATGATAATGTAAACATAGAACTCCAAAAATTAAATATATGGTTTAAAACAAATAAGTTATCCCTAAACATAGAAAAAACAAAATACACTTTATTTCACTCAAACCAACAAAGAAACACACTACCAAATATTCTACCCTCTCTAAAAAAAGAAAATATAGTAATTGAGAGAACTCACGAAACTAAATTTTTAGGAGTTATAATTGATGAAAATTTATCTTGGAAAAGTCACATAAAATATCAAAAAACATAGGTCTACTTTATAAAGCAAAACCTATGCTGTTGCAAAGTAATTTAAAACTTATATATTTCTCTTTTATACATAGCTACCTCATATATGCGAATATAGCTTGAGCGAGTACGCATAACCAAATTGAAAACTTTATATCGACGTCAGAAACATGCTGTAAGACTAATCTACAATAAAGACAAATTTACACACACTGAACCCTTATTTAAAGAAATGAATGTGCTTAATATTTATCAAATTAATAATTACCAAAATATATTTTTTATGCTAAAATTTAAATTAGGTCAAGTACCAAACCATTTTTTAAATAACTTTTTTATAAATAACACAAGAGAAAAAGGAAACTTTAATACACCTTTCAAAAAAAATAAAACTTTTCCAGTTCTCAATTTCATATTGGGGTCTTTATTTATACAACAAACTAGTAACTAAAAATAAATCAATTTGCAATCTAGATTCAATTTGCAATCAAAATTTCTTGAAAAAAAAGTTAAAAAATCTGATACTGAATCTAAACAGATACTCAGAATTCTTCTAAGACTATAAATTAAAATACATATATATCAACTACAAAGTGAACTGACTCGTTTATGTGTATTATCTAAATGACTCTTACCTTTCTCAAACAATATATCAAAAATTGTTTATTACACACACAAAAAAACACTTGATTTTTTCTTATCAAGTTAAGTTATTATGCTGCTTGCTATGTCTAATATT